CTTCTCCTCTGTGAGTCAGGAGGAAAAGACATTAATCTCGGCCTGTCATGACAGAAAGAGGGCTTGAGCCTGGGGTCAGGGGGTGGGATGGGCCCTGTTACAAAGCACCTGCATCTGGGGAGGTGCTGACAGGGAGAATGCCTGGAAGAAGGGATGGCTCAATGGGATGAGGATGGTCCTGAGGCTGTGTTCTCGGCTGTGAGAGGTTGGCCTGAGGAGGTGAGAACTCCACAGGGGACACCAGGCACCACAGGGGACAGCAGGGCCTCCAGCCCAGGTCACTGACCTTCAGGGCATGCCTGTCAACTGGGGGCCAGGCAGTGGGGGAGCTTTGCAGAAGTGACTGGGGATGGACACAGCCCACATGAAACCCCAGACCTCAGCCCTGAGACCCTGACTGGCCGTCAGGGGAGAATGGCCTGTACCTGCTCGCTTTTCTTGGGTATCCTCGCTTCTGCTTCCTTCCCGACCTTCCTGTGGTAGTGCCTCTGCCAACCAGGAAATAACAACATGGAGCACATTCTTCTCCAGCTGGGACTGCAGCCCACCTCTGCCGAGGTCCAGCCTGTGCTTGTGCGGGAGCAGCCCCGGGTTCTGGTTCCCTGCACGGAGCCTCCTGCTTTGGCCTGACCCTGGGCTCTGCCCTCCGGCACCACCGTCAAGGAGGGCCTGGGCATTTCCCCACTTGATCACTGAAAGCAGCAGTAGCTGTATCACACTCCGGTTTTGCTTTTTTCTTTTTCCAGAGGACTACAAGTCTCCCCCATATGCAAACAGCAATGCGGTGTGATGGACAAGCCTGAGAACTGATGAATCCTGTGGTTTCGTTAGGAAAAGGTCACCTGCGTGGGATCACACCTATGACAGCTACACCAGGAGGGAAGGAACTTGACAGACATGAACCCTGTGCTCAGCACATCCGCTGGAGGAGGACCACACTGTGCGGTTCACGTGTGAACATGAACCTGGGGAGGAACAAGCTGCCCTGGTCTCCCAGGCCTGCTGCCAGAAGACAGGCGAGGACAGAAGTAGCCCAGCCCTCAACTGCCTCAGTGAGCGTGGGTGACAGTGCAGGGCCTGGGGTGCTGTGGGGTCTGAGGTCAGGGTTCTGCACCCAGAAGCACACAGCACAAGCTTAAAGCTTCCCAGGTTGCCCAGGGTCCGTGTGTAACAGGAAGCACACCTGCTGCTTTGGCCTGTTACTGGAAGCCAAGGCCCTCCGGGTCTGTGAGCTAAGCCTTCACGGTCAGCAGGACCTGTGGGTCCTTCAACACACACAATAATTGTTTCCCCTTTGGGCCTGCCACATGACGTCACAGCACAGCGTGGTCGCCAGCTGTGTCATCAAGTCCTTTCTGATTCTTAGGTGAGTTTGTAAACACCCAGTGTCTTTCAGGTTAAAGTGCAATCAGTGCCTCATACAATCCAGGGGTGTGGGGGCACGTGCTCACCTGGGGGAAGGTGCAGCTTGTAGAGCACCTTGAGCTTTTCAGTCATGTCCCCGTGGTACATCCCACCTGTGGGAGAAGGCAGGAGGAGGGCATGATGAGAGGGGCTCCCCAGGACGGTACAGGCTCCAGGGGGCTGGGACAGGACCTCCTCACAGCTGCAGAGGGCCCAGGAGCCAGTCCCAGGCTTCCTCAGAGTATCGCCAGGCCAGCTCAGCCTTCCCTGCGGCCAGCTGCCCCAGCCCCACAAGGGAGGGAAGGATAGACTGGCCAGGGATGCCATGGGAAAAGGCCAAGGCAGCGTCAGGCCCCTGGAGGCACTCACTTTTGTTTTAGAACATAGTTTTAGGATGTGTGTATCTTTAAAATAGAAAGGCAGATTTACCAGAAAGAAGAAAAGGGGGAAGATTTTCCATCCATTGGTTCCCTGGCTGGAGGTAAGCTGATCTGAAGGCAGGAGCCAGGAGCCTCTTCCATGTCTCCCATGTGGCTGCAGGGTCCCAAGGCCTTGGGCCATCCTTCACTGCTTTTCCCAAGCCAGAAGCAGGGAGCTGGAAGGGAAATGGAACAGTCAGGATATAAACCAGCACCCACATAGGATCCCAGTGCACACAATTTAGCCACTAGACTATAAATCTTAATTTTTTTTTCTTTTCTGCCTAACAGTCAACGCCAACCTAACTTGAGCCATAGTATCTTAACTTGAGTCAGTCTGATCATTTGGAAGAAAGGTTCCCTTTTCCTGGGGCTACTGAGGGGATAGCGTGTCCCTGGAGCTGCAGACAGCCATGGACTCTGCAGGAAGCGCAGTTCAGAGAACGTCAGAGGGTGAGAGTGTACAACACTGCATCTGAGTCCCTGGATCCAGCCAGGCCTGACACTGTCTCCCTCAACTCTGCAGTTCCTTGAGCCCATGAACTTCTGCTGTAAGCTGCCTTGTGCTTTCTAAGGGAGTGTTCTGCCTAAACTCCAACAAGGCTTAACTTCTACCACTTAGACTTCACAGCAAGTGCATGCACGGATGCTTCCAAACCCCTTCTCTTCCGGCAGGAACCTCTGTGCTGAGGATGCTCTTGGAAGACAAGGTCACAGTTACAGGTCCCGTCCCTGTTCTCGGCTCTTACCTTAAACACCATGTAAAGGTCTTCCAGCTCTTCAGTGGAGAAGCCAGTGTCCCCAGGTATGGCTCGGACCTAGAAGAAAGAGACAGGCTGGGCTGAGGGACTCTCAAGTGCCTGTTGCAGCAGGAGACAGGTTGTCACAGGGACCAGGGCAAAGGCACGAGCTGCCCCTCAGTGTGGCAAGTCGGCCATCCCACTGAGGGCAGGGCCTTGCCCTGCTGGCCTCTCACCACCCAGCCTGCCACTCAGTGCAAGCTCCCTGAGGTCTGTGCCCTAGTGGGCTGAGAGTGGGGGACATGGGACATTGTTTAGTTCCTCCTGTCTGGACCTCTGCTGTGACCCAGGTGCCAGCTCTTGGGAAGGGGTCCTGAAACCACCAGCCAGCTGCTCTCAGTCAGCTGGAGCCATCCGTTTCTGTCACTTGTGACCTCAGAGTGTCTGAAAGGTTTGTGGGGGGCACTGGGGAAGTGGGAATGAGGTTGGCAGTCAAGAGACCATGAGTAGATCCTGTGGCAGGGGCACCTGCACCCATCCAGGGATGCAGAGGATGAAGGCTGGAGGCAGAGGCACGGCACGCAGGTGCTCAGAGGGCAGCTGTGGGATGCTCGGGGTGAGGGGAGGGGACATGTGGGAGACAGAGGGTGCTATGCTTTGGGGGAACGGGGCTTCAGACAGGCTTCCCACTGGCCCATCTGGGAGCAGAATAAAACGACCATGTCCTCTCCCCGCCATGCCCATGCCTGGTCCCACACATCCTAATGCTGACACTGGTGGTGAGGCAGCAGGGGAGTGTGCGTCCTGCCCCACAGACAGGCCTGAGTGGGAGCCCCCCACGCCCACATACCATGCTCCTCTTGGCTGTGTCCTCCAACGACTGGATCACTTTCAGCCTCTGTTTAAACTGCATCTGTTCAGTGTCGCTGGCCTGAAGGCTGCTGAATTTCTGCAGGCAGGTGGGGATGATTAGGTGAGACAATGCACAGCCACAGGGTGCAGGGCTGTCACCCCCCACACCTCCCCACTGAGTGCTGACCTCATAGGAGGCTTTGAGGAGGTCAAAGATGTCTGTCTGTGTGGGAGGCTCGTCTCCACTGGCCAGCAAGGCATGGAGGTGTGGCACTGGTGGGGAAGTACTCTGCTCATTGACCACATTGTCCAGACATCTGTGTGGGGAAGGGGTCAGACATCGAGACCACTCATAGTTATGGCAGACCCTCCAGGAGGATAGAGCGTGCCCCAGCAGGTACCCTGGCAAGTCAAGGATCTCCCCTCAGGCCTCAGGCCCTCCCTCGCATTAGGCTCTGCACATGGAAGGTGCCGGGCTATCTTTTGGGGCTCCATGGACAAGGCGCTTGTTCAGGCCAGAAGAGTCCTGAAACCAACCAGAGGAGACAGCTGTGTTCTGTTGCCTGCTGGGGCTCGTTTCCCAGATGAGACTTTTCCACAGTGCTGCTTGCCAGTCCACAGGCTTGGCAGTGAAGTCGGCAAAGCACAGTGAGTAAATGCCATTTCATCCCAGTCCTCTGTTTCCATGACCAGGCTCCAGGTGGCCCAGCTCCTGAGGGTCAGCTCAGGGTGTCTGCACAGAGGTGGGAGTAGACAGGCCCTAGAGACCACTGGGGAATGGACTGAGGCCGACTCCCCTCACCTGCTCCCTCCCTGGCAAACAGCACCTCAGACCTGGACTTTGCAAGTGGCTGTGCCAAGCTCTCTGTGCTGCTGGGGACCGGCTTCTGCTTAGCAACCAAAGATGTCCTGACAGTTAGGCTTACCACTTCACAGGACCTCAGAGTGGGTCGCTGCAACTCTGCACCCCAGACAATGGGAAAGAGGGCAAGACAAAACAGACTTGACAAGAACATCACACACAGGAACTGCAAGGCTCTGCTGTCACTGGGAGATTCAGAGCCACGAGCTGACTTAGGTCTCAAAGCTACTCCTGACAACACCAGAATCTGAACTTGGCCTCCTGGCTTCCAGCTGGAGGCCTGCATGAGGTGATGTTGGCCGTGGCAGATCTATGCTAAGGTGACCCCTGTCAGCAGGCCTCTGGCAGGGCTCTTTACATGCTGATGACAACATAAAGCACGATCTGAGTTTTGCAGCACTAAATGTGCAGTGGGGCCTGTTGGGTTCCTGGGAGCAGGAACACACCCTAAGTGACTGAATGCCTTCAGCAAGGGAGCATGAGCCTGAAGAGGGCAAGGGTGGCAGGGTGTGCAGAGAGGCCAGGCCAACCTCAGTGGACACCAGGGTGTCACGATGCCCTTTTGGCTGAGAGTTAATTTCATGAGATGAGCAGGGAGCGAAGGGAGCAGGCAGAGGAAGGAGTTGGCACCACACAGGCAAGAACAGGAAGCTTAGCTTGGGGGATAAAAAGCTCATACTTCAACAGTTCTGTGTGTGCTTGGTGATCACTGGGACCAAAGTGGAAGCAATATTCCCTATCACCAACCTTCTGGGGTGGCCAGGTGCCCCTGGGAGTGCCCAAGTCTGGGATGTCACATTTGTGCAACAGCTGGGCCAGGCTCGGGCTCCATTTCCTGGTGGGAGGAAAGTGCTGTCAATAGTCCAGTCCTGCCAGCACAGTGCCCCGCAGCCTCCCTGGCAACCTGGCTGGCCACAGGAGGTAGGGAGCCTCCATGCAGCCACTCAACTGCAGCCCAATGGCTGCCTGTGCTTGCCAGGCAGCTCTGCCCCACGGCTGGTCCACCTACCTCCCATGGCGCCTCAGGCGGTGTCTGCAGAGAGCTGAGCTCCTGTGCAGTCTGCAGTATCTGCTTCGCCAGTGTAAACCTCCTGCCCCGGTCAACACCCCTAAGCCCCTACCCCTTGAGGTCACCGTGTGAGCTGCTCACAGAGTTCAGCAAGCATCCCTGTGTCAGCAAGCAGCGCCTGTCTCATCAGTCCCCACCTGAGCCTCCTGGAGGGCACTGGGTACAGCCTGGCACCTTTTTCTGGGCAGCTCCTGACTGAAGGGAGGGTCTGACTCCTCCATGTCGGATGAGGACTGTCCATGGAAACACACTCCTCCTCCCAGCTCCAGTTCCGGGGAGTCCTTGTGCAGACACTTCAGCCAGCGGCTCTCAGAGGGCTGTGTTGGGAAGAACAGGAAAGCAAGCCCTTTGACTGCAGCTCTCACACCCAGGGCTCAGGGATGGTGCCTGCTGGCGAGGCCTTGGAGAGGCAGCAGAACCCCCGAACGTCCATGCTCCCTGACCCAGTGACCCCACACAGACAACAAAGGCACAGAGATACTCGTGGCGCTGTAGACGCCATTGTTTAGAAAGTGTGGAGACAGCCTCAGGCACTCAAAAAAGGGATCAGTGCCAGCAGCCCGCTTTCCACCGTATTCCCAGTTTTAAAAACTGAAAATACCCGGAAACTGCAATAATACAGAAGCCTTTTCTTACTGAAAACTTAAGCAAACATGTCTTTTCTTGACACAAAAATGATGTAACATGAAGCGTTCGAGTGGCTGACCCGGAAGCTCAGGTGCTGAGAGCTGCACTGGAGGTGGGCCTAGGAGTGTCTACTGATTTCCCACAAAGCCGACCAAGTGGCATGTGAAAGTCAGACAGGCCCGACAGGTAGCTGGAAAGAGCAGAGGAGGAGTCTCCCTAGAAGTATGCAGGATGCCTGAGTTAGCAAGACCAAAGTGCCACCTCATCCTTCGGAGTTCCTGCTTTTATCACGACAAAAGAAAGAAGTTACCAATCCTATCCTATCCTTCCTCTGGGCTTTTCACCAGAGACAAGCTAGACAGGGTTGTGATCCTGGCCCAATGAAGGACTCTGTGCCTTCCTCTCATTGATTATTAGCTGTCATAATGAACATCTGAATTAGCTGAAAAGACACCACCCCCACCGTTCTCTCGGGTTTTCCTCTCTGAGAGCCCCACTCAATCCTGCGGCAGGTTTGTCTTGAATAAATCTCGCTTTGCTTCTTGATTTGTCTGTGGGGAAATCCTTCTTTCCTGTGAGGTAAGACCTGAGGTAGCCTCCGTCCTTCGTGCCCTTTCCCCAGAACAGTGATGAAATGGGAGAGGAATGTAGGGAGCTGGCATGGCAGTCAGGAGCTGGAAGCCACACCTCCCCACGCTATGTAATCCCTATCTGTAGGTCAGAGGACCCCTTCCCAGGGGATACTTCCTCACACCTGTTGGGGGGCGGGGGTCACATAACCACTCCCTTTTGGAACCCTGTAAGAGCCCTAACAAGGAGGGGCTCTCCCACTCAAGGATGCTCTCACTCTCGCTCTTCCTGCAGATGCAGAGGAGAAAGCACCCTTCTTCCACCCTCCCCGTTTTTGGGTCACTCTGCTCCTCAACACGTCCACATGGGTGTGATTTCCTCACCATTTAAAGAAACTTCATCACTTCAGAAGATGCACTGGATGGTTTAAGAACCTGGAATAGGTATTTGAGACCACCTAGCCCAGGACGGCAAGAGGGTGGCCAGAGTGGTCCTGTGAGCAGAAGGTGGGAGTTCTCCTGTAGGGACCTGCTATTCTGGGTGGACTGATGACCACAAGAACTAAAGTGCTCTCTCACACACCGCCTGCCCACAGCACTGTGTGACTTACGCTCTCCAGAGGAGTGACCAGGGACCTGACCCTCGGACTCCTGTCCCTGAAAGGTACCTGGAGGGCGGGGGCACAAGGGGCAGGAGCCGGAGGACAGGTTCTGTTCCGGAGGAGCCATTACACAGCACAAAGGAAGAAGCCCTCTTCGTGTAGCAACGATGTGTGGATATGTGGACAGGTTATAGGTTCTTGTATCCCTGTACTTGTGAACACTTGTCATCAGTATTGTTGACTGTATGGCTAATGAATACTGGTAAACTAAAGTTACAAGAAGCCCTGGTTCGGAGGAAGCTCCTGCATTGCAGCCCAGCAGGACATGGCACAATAAAAAACCCACGTCCCTAGAAACTCGGTTGTCACTGACCTGAGAAAGGGGGGAAGAGAACAGCCTGCTTTCATCAACAGGCCAGTGCAGTCTGAAAGAGGAAATTCCCCCTGCTTCAACCTTTTACCCTGATGCCAACCCATCAGTGGGCCATTACTCTGTCTCCCGGGGTGCACCTTATAAGACAAGCAATTCTGAAGTGACTTATCTGCTCCTTCTGTCTACGAAACCAACCCCTTCTGCTCTGCTGGTTGCAGAATTCATTGAAGTGCTGCTCAATTCTAGAACTGCAATGAGTGCTTCAAATGAAATTTGTGTGATTCTGTCTTTTTGGTAACACATAAACAGAATCCGTTCCATTAGGTTTAGCACAGACGCAGCTGGCTTACCTGAGGATCCACATTCTCTGCCTGATGGTGATCTTCAAGTTCTTCTTCTCTGACACTTCCAGAACCTTGCAGAGACCTTAGGGGAAGAACATCCAAACCCCCTTAGTAAAATGAGCCCAAAGACGAAGGACAAATAAGATGAAAATGGCAGGATGCAAGGACTGAGCAAACCCCAGGCTGGTCTTGGGGCATCTCAGGGACTCAGCTCTGAGGTCTCATGTGCTTCTGGCGTCCTGCAGCAGCCGAGGATCTGGGAGAGGGGCCACTTATTTCCTCTGATTAGGGATGGTCAGGCCCTCCACCAACAGCAGGACTGGGCAGAGAGCCATGCACTCTGCTTAGGCTGGAACTGGCATCTTGGCTTTGACCATGACAAGCTCTGTGCTGCATCATGGTTTGACATCCTTGTTCCATTTTTCTCATCCCACTAATGTGGGTAATATTGTGCCCAGGACTGCAAAGATCAATGAAACAATGAATGTCCTTTGCTCAGGACCCCTGGAACACAGAATTCCATTCATCAACACAGGGATGTCCTCATGGAAAAAGGCCACACAAGTCACTGAGCTTGACACATCACGGTGACTCTAGCTGTCCTGCTGGGGAGGGGCTCTGCATCTCACCAAGATGAACTGACGCCATGTGGGTTGTCAAATCACATAATCCCATGCAACACTCCAGTGAGCTCACACTCCACCATATGTGGGCATCTACCACAGTTACTTTGCCTTCAGTCACTGATTCTCACAGGGCTATTATGAGGATGTATGCAGGTGAGAGCAGCTACCCTGCCCCCCAGCTGAGAACTAACAGTCCAGTGGGCAGTATCCTACCAGTGAGCGCCCCGAACCCTGCATACCTGACTTAAGAACCCATTCCAGCGGCTGTCACTGTGGTGCAGTAAGCTAACTCCCACCTGTGGCCCAGCATCCCAGAAGGGTGCCACTTCATGCCTCAGCTGCTTCCACTTCTGATCAGCTCCCTGCTTATGATCTGGGAAAGCAGTGGAGGATGGCTGGAGTCCTTGGGCACCCATGTGGGTGACCTGGAAGATACTCTTGCCTTCTGGTGTCAGATTGGCTCAGCTCTGCTTGTTGCAGCCATGTGGGGGTGAACCTGTGGAAGAAGATTCAGTCTCTCCTCTCTATAAATCTTTCAAGTATAAATAAATGTTTCAATAAACTTCATTCCAAAACCTAAAGAATGTCTCTGCGCTGTGAACATAGTCTGCCTTTTTGTCTGCAGCGTTGCCACCAAGAGGCGGGTGTCACAGTCCCTCCATAGATGAGCCAGCCCTCTCCAATGCTTCATTTTGTCTTCTGGCTCCCACAACCTCACTGTGGTGTGCTGAAAGAGTTTTTTTCTTCTTTTTTAAAGATTATTTATTTTTATTTGAAAGGCAGAGAGACAGAGAAAGATTTTCCAACTGCTCGTTCCCTTCCTACATGGTTGCAATGGCTAGAGCTAAGTCACCCCAAAGCCAAGAGCCAGGACCTTCCTCTGGACATCTTAAGGCTTTGGGCCATCCTCTACTGCTTTCCCAGGGCATAAGCAGGGATTTAATGGGAAGTGGAGCAGTCAGGACACGAACTGGTATCGATGTGGGATCCCAATGTGTGTGGGGCGAGGATTCAGCCACTGAACCATCATGCTGTGCCCAAGGATTTATACTTATTTTCATTTGAAGATCAGAGTCACAGAGAGAAACAGACCTTCGATGTGCTGATTCATTCCCCAAACGGCTCTAATGGCTGGGACTGAGCTGCTCCAAAGCCGGGAGCTAGGAGCCTCTTCTGGGTTTCCCATGTAGTGCAGGGAACCAGGTAGCCACTTTCACACATCATAGGCAGGAAGCCGGGTGGAAAGTGAAGCAGCTGGGACATGAACTGGTGCTCATATGGGATGCCACCGCTGCAGAGGCTTAGCCTACTTTGCCATGGTGCTGGCCTTTTTTAGTCAATCTTTACTTCACACTGTATAAATCCTCCAACTTTGATTTTTATTAACACTAATTAGATGATTCCTTGTCTTTTGTATTTCTATATAAGTTTCAGGTTTAGTTGGTTCTTTTCTTATTTACTTACTTGAAAGTCCGAGAGAGAGAGAGTAGGGAGAGAGAGATTTGTTTCCTCTGCTGGTTCATGGCACACATGGCCATAATAGTCAGGACTCAGCCAGGATTAAGTCAGGGGCAAGGAGCTTCATATGGTTCTCCCACGAGGGTGGCATGGGGCCACGCATTTGGGACACCCTCCGTTGCTTCCCCGAGCCATGAGCAAACAACCAGTACAAATCTTACAGAGTAGAGGTGCTATAGCACATTAGCCTGGTTTTTGATGCAGAATGCTTGGGTGTGTTCTGGATCTACAGAAGAACCAGTGTGACTGGCCTGTTGTCCTAACATATTCTGGTTTGATTATAAGTCTCACAGCTGGTAGAAACTTTCCATCCTGTGTCCCTCCTCGTTGCCTGGCTTCCTAGGAGCTGGAACAGGTAATGGTTACCTGATACCACATCCAAGTCCCAGTGAGGGGAAGTACCTGTGGGGAAGGGGTCATCTCATTGACAGACAGGTAGATAGGAAGACATAGTGTAGAGGAGGTGTGCAGGTGTATGTAGTTTCAACTTGTGAGCTTAAGCAGTTATCTGCCTATTCCATTTCATCCTCCCTCAGATAGTTCTGACCTTAATCTTAAGGATTGCTGAAGGATGAGGCGCACACGCTGGAATGGGGCTGTGTTCTGGTCAGGATACAGTTGTAGCCTCCCTTGGCACAAGTGTGGACTGGGACTTGACGTACAGGGCTGGGTCAGACTGCAACACCTTCTGGTGTCTTGGAGGATCAGGGTAAATGTGGGACGGACTAGGCTGGGTTTCAACCCCAACTGAGCCATGTAAGTGCTATGTGTGTGTATGGACGAGCCATGGTTCAGCAAGAACCAGAATGGGTTGAAGGCCAGTTAAGAAAAGCCACTGCTCTTGCTAGGACAGGAGGTGAACTGCATAGTGCTGGCCCATAGACCCACTGGTAAGCGCGAAACCTGGCATCAGGAGGGGATCTGAGGGAGGAGCCTGAGCAACTCCTCTGACAGGACACGGATCCCACAAATAAGCCCAAGAAGCATGGAAGGAAACAGCCCAGAAGAGGTCATGGAAAGTGCCCCACTGGCATATACTTGGCATGGGTTGGGGGCAGAATAGGCTGAATCAGCTCCAGTCATCCCCTGGCAAACCAGAATGCCGGAGCAGAGTGTGGGTCGAGCCAGGTTCAGTCGTGACAAAAGCAGTACTCAACTTAGAATGCCAAGGTGAGGCTGCCTGTGCTGGATGTGACCACAGCACCCAACCAGCATACATGAGAAAAGGAAGAGAGGGGCAGACCCGGCAGGGGAGTAAGGGGTGGTTCCCTTGCTGGATAGCTATTCCCACTGGAGAGCATGAGCTGGGATGTGGATAGACCAGACTAGGCAGGGCTGCAGCACCTGTGCGCCTCATGGGGACCAGATCAGGGAAGAGCCAGGATGGGCAGACTATTCCTACTGGTGCTAACAAAACTAGAGGGGGCGAGAACTGTCAGGGCTTAACCAGAGCAGAAGCTGGCACTAGGGGCTAATACTGTCAAGTCCAACCACAGGGCCACCTGGAGAGAGCATAATCCGGAAGTGAGAGTGACCTGGGAAGGAAATAGTGGGCTCTTCCCTTTTGGGTTACCACTCCCATGGGAGGGCACAAAATAACTAGGACAGGGGCTGGGGTGGCTAGACAGAGAGGCACTCAACGACATCTGTGAGGGCTAGACAGTTTAGCTGGTTGGATGGAACTAAGCTCCAATACCCTTCGACATTTATGAGAGCCAAATGGGATACGGAGCAGACTAAATTAGCCTGCTACACATGCTGCTGCAAATCAGGGCAGGGGTGGGGGTGATTGGGGGTCGCTCTGACTAGGCTGCAGCTCCCATTGGTATGTGTGATGACCGAGTGAGTATGTGATGAGCAGAACCAGGATGGACTACAACAACCATTGGTTCCAGTGGAAGTTGGGGCTGAAGACGGAACCAGCCCAGCAATTGCAACCACCAGCTGATTGGGGAGGTGGACTGTGCCAGGTCCTCTACTTGCTAGTGCATATAGGAATCTGGTCTGGGAACACCTCAGGGTTTCTTTGGGGATCTGCTCAACTGAAATGGCAGACTCAGAACCTTTACCAAGAATAAGACGGAAGATACAACAGGTCAATCAACCACCACAGCTACATGCTGGCAGCGAAACACTGGATGAAGGGAGATTCTATGATGGGCTATGTCAATCAGTAGATTATTCAACAGCCTCATCGTGTCTGGAGTGGCAAGACTGGCAGCAATGCATAACTGGTGCACTGTTGGGACCATTTGAGCAAGGATCTTGGAATATGCCCTACATCTGGGACCTGGGGTGGGTGGGAGACTGGGTGGGGCTTCTCCTCAATATTCCCTTTAGCCCTTGTAACTTTTTACCCTAATCAACAATGTAAAGAGTGCCAAAATAAAATTTAAAAAGAAAAAAAAAGATTCATCACATCTTCTGCAATTACTTCCTGCTGGTTATGGACATGAGCCTTGCCTGGTCTGGGTTTGGAAATCTCTGTGTCATCTAATGGGTCTATCTCAGGAGTCAGAGAATTTCCAGTCAGTGCCAATGGCTGTGTCCTCATTACTCTGCAAAGTTGCTGGATTCTTTTTGCCTTTAAGAGAGGCATTTAAGGTCCTGGTTCACTGGAGTAGCCTGGCTTATCTTTTGTATGTTCCTGAGTAAGTTCCTCCCTCTTGCAGAAGAGCCTGCCAAGGCAGTGTCCCACATGCAGCTGTGTACACTGAGGTCAGGGCACATCCTAAAGATCTGGCCCTGAGATCAGAGATCCTCTGGCACCAGAAGTCAACTGAGCAGGAAGCCCGGGGCTGCCTACCGATGCCAAAGCCATCAGTGGGACCACGAAAAAGCAGATCATGGCAGGGATTCCTGGAAGATACAGCTGACTCACCCCTGGGACTCAGAGGGGACACAGGGCAGCAACACTCCTGAAACACACCCATGTAGC